GCAGCTGCTGCAGGAGCTGCAGCAGCCGCAGCCACAGCAGCAGCCGCAGCTGCAGCAGCAGCAGCTGCTGCTGCTGCACCAGCGCCACAAGCAGATGCAGCAGCAGCACAGCAGCCCAGCTTCGGCAGCAGTAGCAGCACCGACAGCAACTGCAGCAGCGACTGCAACAGCAGTAGCAGCAAAATAACAGCAGCAGCACCAACAGCAGCAACAGCAGCAGCAGCAGCAGCAGCAGCAGCAAAAGATTGCTGCTGATGCACCGGGTGTCTTCTTTTTTTGAAAATGCTGCCTGATTTTCAATCAGGTTATATTTCAATTCTGAATAGCGTGGGGTACGTACACTGGTGCTGCTGCTGCTGCTGCTGCTACTGCTGCTGCTGCCGGTGCTGCTGCTGCTCTTGCTGCAGCCGCCTCAGCAGCAGAAAGCGTGTCTCTTCGCCCCAAACCCTAAACCCTAAACCCTAGGCTGCGCCTTTTGCTGCTTCTGTCTCTTATGCCTTCTTCGCTTGCTGCTGCTGCTTCTTGCTGCTGCAGTTGAAGAAGCAGCAGTAGCGCCCGCATTTGCAGAGCTGCAGTGTGCTGCTGCTGCTGCTGCTGTTCTTCACCTGCTGCTCATGCTGCTGCTCCTTCACCCCCCACACTGCTGCTGCTGCTGCTGCTGCGGTTCACCAGCTGCTGCTGCTGCTGTTGCACTGCTGCTGCTGCTGCTGCTGCTGCTGTTGCTGCTGCTGCATCTTCACCTGCCGCACTGCTGCTGCTGCTGCTGCTGCTCTTCTTCACCTGCTGCTGATGCTGCTATTGCTTCACCTGAAACACTGCTGCTGCTGCGGCTCACCTGCTGCTGCTGCTGCGGCTCACCTGCTGCTGCTGCTGCGGCTCACCTGCTGCTGCTGCTGCTGCGGCTCCACCTGCCGCCCCGCTGCCGCTGCTGCTGCTGCTGCTGCTGCTGCTGCAGGTCGCACCCGCTGCAGCTGTGGGCCTGCTGCACTGCAGCAGCAGGGGCCTCCGTAGCAGCAGCAGCAGACCGGGAGTTGGGGGGGGCCCCCGTGGTGGAGCTGAGGGGCCCCCTTCGCTGCTGCTGCATTTGCTGCCCGCCGGAGCCGCAGCGGGCCCTCAAGATAACTTTGCCAGTTATTGTTCTTTTGGTTAAAAATGTAATTTATTTATTTAATTTAATTAGTTTAATTCTTTCAATTTAATTATCTTATTTAATTTATTTAATTGTTTAGTTGTTTCTTTTTTGCTGCTTTTTGCCGTTTGTGGGGCTCCCAAACTTTTTCCTTCAGTGGGTGATCTTTGCTGCTGCTGCTGCCTTTTGCTGCTGCATTTTGCTGCTGCTGCAGCTGCTGCTGCTGCTGCTGCGCTTTGCTGCTGTTTACGCCTCTATTTCGTTTTTGATGAATCATTTGATTTAGTTCGAATAAATATATTCATTTAATCCAATTGAATTAGTGCTGCGGGGTGTATGTACAGCTCAACAAACTGTTTTCTTTCGAAGTGCAAATATATGACAGCAAAAATACAAAGAGAAGGTTCAGGGCTTCCAACTTCCAGGTGTCTGTACACTGCAGCTCCACTGCATGCATGCATGCATGCATGTATGCATGCATGCATGCATGCATGCATGCGTCTCTGGCTTTGTCTGGTCTTTTTCGAGAAGCTGAAGTATTCAATTTTTGACATATTTATTCGAATTAAATTAAAAATTAAAAAGTTAATATCTAAATTAAATTCAAAATTAATTCTATTTGCTAATTCTTCCACTTCGCCCATTTGCAAACGCCGGGCAGCCGCATCAGCTGTTGAGGCACTTGCCGCTGCTTCATTTCTTCTTTTTAAATGGAGAATAAGGGACCTAAAGTGTTTATTTTGAATAAATAAATGTTTTAGAATAAATAAATATGTTTTTGCGTTCAAAATGAATGAAAAATAGACAAAGTTGAGCGCTTAGATGCAGCTTCGTCCATCGGGCGCTGAGGTGTACGTACACCTGGGCGGCGGCGCCGGAGCGCGAAAGCTGGGTCTTTTTTTTCGGATTTTTGGGTTTTGAGAGGTCAAAATGGGTCAAAATAAACGGGAAAATGTGAATTAAATGAGTAAAAAGGGTTTATGGAGCGTTTTGCGTTTGTTTCGGCAGAAAACGACGCGGATCAAGCCGTTTCTGTGCGCGATGCCGCTGCGCATGGACAGCGGCTGGGTGTACGTACACCTGAACTTGGCGGAACTCACCCGCAAAGCCTTCGGCACTCATTATAATTATACTTCTAGAGTTTTAATTCACTCGAGTTGTCGTCTGCAGCGAGTGTTCTTCTCGGAGCAGCCCTTTCGAGAAGAGCAGCTGCCCGACGAGCTCCGGCTGCCCCTCCAGGAAACCCAGTCCTGAGGGTTTAGGGTTTAGGGTTTAGGGTTTAGGGTTTGGGGGTGGGTTGGGAGGCGCGGCGAGCGGCGCAGCAGGGCCCCGAGGCCCTAGGGTTTAGGGTTTCTTTTGTCTGTTTTTTGTCTCGAGCACGCAGCCAACGCTGCGCCAAGTCGAAACCCTTTTTTAGGGTTTGGGGCTTATGTTTTATAATCCACACAAGCGAGATATATTTGAAACCAAAGACAAGGTCTCTGATGTGCAACTGAGCCGTCAAGTTCTCGCCTCACAGTTCAGGGTTTAGGGTTTAGGGTTTTGGACGAAGCCTCTAGGGTTTAGGGTTTAGGGTTTGGGGCATAGGACTTAGGGTTTAGGGTTTAGGCCCCAGCCAGCACTTCTCCCCTTTCTTCTGCATTTATACCAATTACTTTTGCTTGCCCAAAACCATACGCTTCAGACGATAGGGTTTAGGGTTTAG